AACCAGCTTGTTCTTGGATCATCCATTGTATTGGGACACTCCTCAGGCGCTTGTGCCACTCCTCACCCTGCTACCAATTGCAGGGGTTATTGGACAGGAGGTGTAAGGGAAGCCCTTTAGTCAACTCGGCCATTAACAGGTACATGACAATGCCACTCAGCACCATATCTGAGGCTGAAAGAGGTGCTTCCCCACTGGACACATGTGCCAGAAGATTTCTGCTTTGACCAGGTGATCAAGAAGTTTCAAGACAGGTAATGCCAGTCAGAAGACCACATTCAGTCCATCATTACAGGACCTCCTGCATCCTCTACTTCAGTAATTAGAACTTCACTTATAACTGACTCATTCTGCACCTGCATCTATTGACGTATTTCCACTCCAGGAGTCTTGTGTACCTACTCCTGAGCACTTTCAGAGGATCGGTGTAAACTTTGAGTATGCTGGAATGCATTCTGTTTTTACTTTGCTTTCCAAAAGGAGAAAGGGACTCCCTTAGCAAAAGAGACAGCACATGCATTTATAAAAGACATGGCAAGACATCATGAGATTGCTGCCAGTGTTGTGCATGATCAAGGGGTACTATTCACATCAAAATTCTGGATAGAGACAGCATTAAAAATCAAGTTCTGCTTTTCGTCTGCATACTGTCCTCAGACAAATGGACAGACAGAGCCCACAAACAAGACACTAGAACAGAACCTTAATATTTATCATCATTTCTCATAATTTGATATTTTATCTGCATATGCTGACAGTTACAACATCCTTCCAAGTAAAACAGTGGTAATAAACTGCGTTCCTCATAAACCCATTATTAAACTTTAGTAACTATAATCAGTTCAAATTAACTCCTTCCTTCCATTCTCCCCTTAGCTATTAATTTGATGATTTCTTTTTTATTTCTTTGGTGTTAAAATGCAATTTTATATCACAGCCTTTTTACAATTTTGGCAGTTAGTAGTAAACAGACTATTTTTAATTAAGTGGTTTTGCAAATAATGTATTAATCTGGTGGCCAACAGGTTTTGGCAAATGTTCTTAAATTTGAATTTGAAAGGGTAGAGCAGGCCCATAGACTTGACATAACATCTACACTATATTGACAAAAGTATTGGGACACCCCTCCAAATCATTGGATTCAGGAGTTCCAATCATCTCCATGGCCACAGGTGTATAAAATCAAGCACCTAGGCATGCAGACTGTTTCTACAAACATTTTTGAAAGAATATGTCACTCCCAGGAGCTCAGTGAATTCAAGCGTGGTACTGTGATAGGTTTCCACCTGTGCAATAAGTCCATCCGTGAAATTTCCTTGCTGCTAAATATTCCATGGTCAACTGTTAGTGGTATTATAACACAGTAGAATGGGTTTCCATGGCCGAGCAGGTACATACAAGCCTTACATCACCAAGTGCAATGCAAAGTGTTGGATGTAGTGGTGTGAAGCACTCCGCTGTGGGACTTTAGAACAGTGGAGATGTGTTCTCTGGAGTGATGAATCACTGTTCTCTAACAATCCTATGGCTGTGTCTGGGTTTGCCAATTGCCAGGAGAATGGTACTTGCCTGACTGCATTGTGCCAAGTGTAAAGTTTGGTGGAGGGGAGATTATGGTGTGGGGTTGTTTTTCAGGGGTTGGGCTTGGCCTCTTAGTTCTAGTGAGGGGAACTCTTAAGGTGTCAGCATACCAAGACATTTTGGACAATTTCATGCTCCCAACTTTGTGGAAGCAGTTTTGGGATAGCCCCTTCCTGTTCCAACATGACTGTGCACCAGTGCACAAAGCAAGGTCCATAAAGACATGGATGAGCAAGTTTGGGGTGGAGGAACTTGACTGGCCTGCACAGAGTTCTGACCTTAACCCAGTGTTTCTCAACTCCAGTCCTCATGGACCCCCAACAGGTCATGTTTTCAGGATTTCCATTATTTTGCACAGGTGATTTGATCAGTTTCACTGCCTTAGTAATTACCACAGCTGTTTCATCTGAGGGAAATCCTGAAAACATGACCTGTTGGGGGTCCATGAGGACTGGAGTTGAGAAACACTGCCTTAACCTGACAGAACACCTTTGGGATGAATTAGAGTGGAGACTGCGAGCCAGGCATTCCAGTCCGACATCAGTGCCTGACCTCACAAATGATCAAACATTCCCATAGACACACTCCCAAACCTTGTGGACAGCCTTCCCAGAAAAGTTGAAGCTGTTACAGCTGCAAAGGGTGCGCCAACTCAATATTGAACCCTATGAACTAAAACTGGGATGCCATTAAAGTTCATGTGCATGTAAAGGCAGGTGACCCAACACTTTTGGCAATATAGTGTATCTGTCAATGAGTTTCTGACAAGGCCATAATACTTGTGTATGTACAGTAGATAAAGTTAATTGAATTATCACCGTCCAAGCCCTCAAAAAGCAGAAAAAAACCCCAAAAGCAACAGAGAAGGATAGATTTGTACACGCTGGGCTCCACACTGTCTGCAAAATAATTGCCATTTGCCAAAGATCGTGGGGATTATTTTTCATCTCTAATAACATTAAAAGTATTTGTGGCAGGGAGATAGAAATTACAGCATCAGATATAAAATACCATTTCCTGATTGTACAGAACCCCCTAGGGGTCCCGCTTGCAGTAGTTATGCAGCGTTTTTAACGTACTGTGATAAGGAAGATGTGCTAATAATTCTACCTTTGTACATATCTTTATGCACTGCCTGCTATAAAATTAGCAGCGTCTGTGTTCTAAGGTAAGAATTTATACCAATCCCTAGAGAGACTGATGCATTGTGTTACCATTGTCTGCATGTTTGGTATAACTTTGTTGTTGATTTGTATGAAATTGCATTGTGTGTCTTGCTTGCATGCAGATTAGTGACAACGTGTGCAAGCTAGCACATCTGCCAAACAGGTATCTTTGTGTATCATTGCCTAGCAAACCAGTCAGCTGACAAACTGCAGGTGATGATGGCAAGTTATTGTAAGTCATGTGCTTGGTGAGTGTGGCACTGAAAAAAAGTGATAACACAAGGATTACAAGGCACTTTTTACAGTACCACTAGTTGTCTTAAAACTAACACTGGTCTACTGGTCATACTAAAAAAAGTACATTTTTTTTTTTTTTTTGTCTGTAGATTGCACAGAAAATAGAATAATTTTGCCCCAAAAAAGACTTGTTTCTGCCAAGAAAATAATCAATGTATGTAATATTTTGTTTTCTTAAGAAGGAACAAAGTTATTGTCAAATTACTAGGCCCATAGTAGGAATATAAAGGTTTCTCTGCTCCATAAAGTGTATACAATGTGGGAGCTGAAGTTGTTTGAAAGTTAAACAGCAAAGAAATATTTTTAACAAATGAATAGGACCATGCTGACTTATATCCCGTGTGGAGCCAGGTACCTTTTCATAGTAAGCAGGGGTACAGGCAGTAAGTGCTCCCCTCAACACACAATGCCTAGCTGCAGCTCCACAACTTAAGGCGGTAATTTGAATGTTCTGCAGCAATGTTAAGGCGGTATGAAACCCAAAAGCAAACATTTATTACATTGCAGCTTACCAATTCTTTGATGTGATGGCTGTGATAGTTTTCTTTTTTTCAAGCTTTCTTTCTCCTATTTTCACTTGGTAATCCATCTATTGTTTTTCAAAAGAACAAGCTCTCTTGCAAATGTAACAGTTACAGAGATGAGACAAACCATTCAACACTGGCTGGGGTGCTTACAATGATTAGTATTATTTATGTAAAACCTTTATCCCAAAAGAAATAAAAATGTTTGCTGTAACTGCTTATAAATTATGAGCTTAGGTCAGTGATGTATTTAGGTTTGCGCTGCCCTAGGCAACACAAAAATCAGACCCCCCCCCGCAGAGAGAGCCTAACATTGACCAACAACACCCCTGCCCCCCCCCCACCCGAGAGAGCCTTCCACTAACACACATCCCCACCGCCCCGAAGAGAGATTCACTCACCTTCACAGCTCTGGACATCACTGAGAGAACGAGAGCTGGGTTCTGCATACACCATCAAGCAGTCCGCAGCCTCTCTCGACTCTCACCTGATCCCCATGCCGCAGGTATCCCTTCTTTCAGGGGGCACTGCTGCCCCCCTGAAATGTGCTGCCCTAGGCAAATACCTTGTTTGCCTTGTGGTAAATACACCCCTGGCTTAGGTTTGGCTTCCGTTTTTAGTGTATGTACCATATTTTTCGCTTCATAAGACACACCTGACCATGAGATGTACCTAGGTTTTAAAGGAGGAAAACAAGAAAACAAATATTTTGAACCAATGGACTGCAGACATAGTACAGGAAATGACCAGAGACTGCAGACACAGTACAGGAGATGACCAAAGACTGCGGACATAGTGCAGGAAATGACCAGAGACCGTGGACATAGTACAGCAAATGACCAGAGACTGTGGGCATAATACAGGAGATGACCAGAGACTGCGGACACAGTACAGGAGATGACCAGAGACTGTGGACATAGTACAGCAAATGACCAGAGACTGTGGACATAATACAGGAGATGACCAGAGACTGCGGACATAGTACAGCAGATGACCAGAGACTGCGGACATAATACAGCAGATGACCAGAGACTGCGGACATAATACAGGAGATGACCAGAGACTGCGGACACAGTACAGGAGATGACCAGAGACTGCGGACATAGAACAGGAGATGACCAGAGAATGCAGACACAGTACAGGGGATGACCAGAGACTGCAGACACAGTACAGGAGATGACCAGAGACTGCGGACACAGTACAGGAGATGACCAGAGACTGCAGACACACTACAGGAGATGACCAGAGAATGCAGACATAACTCCTGTAGTGGGTCTGCAGTCTTTGACAACTCCTGTAGGTTGTCTGCAGTCTCTGACCATCTCCTGTAGTATGTCTACTGCAGACATACTAAAGGAGATGACCAGAGACTGCAGACATAGTACAGGAGATGACCAGAGACTGTGGACATAGTAAAGGGGATGACCAGAGACTGTGGACATAGTACAGGAGATGACCAGAGACTGCGGACATAGTACAGATATGACCAGAGACTGCGGACATAGTACAGGAGATGACCAGAGACTGCGGACATAGTACAGGAGATGACCAGAGACTGCGGACATAGTACAGGGGATGACCAGAGACTGCGGACATAGTACAGGGGATGACCAGAGACTGCGGACATAGTACAGGGGATGACCAGAGACTGCGGACACAGTACAGGGGATGACCAGAGACTGCGGACATAGTACAGGGGATGACCAGAGACTGCGGACATAGTACAGGGGATGACCAGAGACTGCAGACCTTTTGGGAGCAGAGGAGGGGGGTGGGAGCGGGTACCCGAATTTGACAGGTACCTGCTCCCACTTCCGCGGAGCTCTCCTTCCTCCCCATCTTCTGGGACACGTGACAGATCCCAGAAGATTGCCAGACCATTCATAAAGCGCTGCACTTCTCACGCATGCGCAGTGGGCACCCAGCTGTGAAGCCACAAACTGTCACAGCTGGGTGCCCACACTAAAGATGCCGGCTCTGGGAGAGAAGACTGTGAAGACAGTGCTGGACCAAGGAACAGGTAGGACAGAGGAGCACAGAAGAGCCGAGTGGCCGGCCCAGTATTCTAACACAGTGGCGGTGGGAATTCCGGGTCGGCAGCTCCTTATTCGCTCCATAAGACACACAGACATTTTCCCCCATTTTTTTGGGGGAAAAAGTGTGTCTTATGTAGCGAAAAATACGGTAAATCTGCTAGTCCAAAGAACACCGTCTTCATCCAGACTGACAATGCTGCTGTCCAAATGTCCCCCCTTTGCTCCTTCATCCAGAGTGTAGGCACTCTAATACAGGAGGTGTGTTTCTGGCCAGATTACCAGGTGAAAACAGAGGTAATAAAGGCCTAAAAAAAGAAAAACTAATGCAGAAGAGCAGGCAACCACGAGCAGCGCCAATGTACCAGTGCCATTACACCCAAATGGTCAATCGGCAAACGCCAACGGAGCTAGACCCCAGGATGCAAGGCCCAGTACCAGCATTGAAATATCACGACAGACCCAAAGGGGTTTATTTACTAAAGCTGGAGAGTCCAAAATCAGACTCCCTTCTGCATAGAAACCAATCAGCTTCCAGGTTTCATTGCCAAAGCTTCATTGAACAAGCTGAGGTTAGAAGCTGATTGGTTTCTATGCAGAAGGGAGTCTGATTTTGGACTCTCCAGCTTTAGTAAATAAACCCCAAAGAGTCAGGGCCCAAACATACCTCTCAGACGCTCTGGCAAACCCTTTATGGCTGCCTTCCAGCTCAGGATCAGCTACAATCTCCCCTTTCACCGCACTACCAGGCGTGCAGCCCAACACAGACAATGTTTCCCCGATGCGATTTTTTAAAATTATTTTTACCTGATAATTTCCTTCAGTTTATTGTGGATCAGACTAACCTGTTTGCCCAACAATATATCGCAGCCAATTTATGCTATGCCCATCCATACGAATGGAGGCGGCTAACAGTAGAGGAGTTTAAATTGTTTTTGGGCCTTACGATCAACATGAGGCTTACAAAAAAAACAAATTACATTCATATTGGTCTACCCACCCTATCCAACACGTTCCCATCTTTTCAGCTGTAATGTCCAGGTCACGCTGTGACATGATAATGCACTTCCTGCATTTCACTGATAATTCCCAGTGCCCTCCCCGATATCAGCCTGGCTAAGACAAACAACATTTCTAAAATATTATGTCCCTGACCAAAATATCTGTGTGGATAAATTTCTTGTCCACTTTACTGGCTGGCTGGGAATCAAGCAACACAGTCTCAGTAAAAGGGACAGGTATGGACTGAAGCTCAACAAGCTCTGTGAAAGTGTCACTGGATATGTGCATGCCTTCCGTCTATGAAGGCAAAGACTCCAAGCTCCAACCACCTGGGTGCCCAACCTAAATTTTCTGGGACCTGGCTTTTCCTAAAGGGATATCACATCTACCTAGACAATTATTACACAAGCCTGCCCCTTTTCCGCCACCTGTACCTTAAGAAAACGATGGCCTGCGGTACCACACGAACAAACAGGAAGAGCTTCCCACACAATTTAGTGAGCACAAGGCTACAAAGGGGGAAATCTGCAATTGTGAGGAACGAGGAAGTATTGGCTGTGAAGTGGAAGGATAGGAGAGATGTTTACGCTCTGTCCACCAACAACAATGACACCATGGTGGAAATTCACAGAAGACGAGGTCCCATCTGAAAGCCAGAGTGTATCTACAATTACAATCGATTCATGGAGGGGGTGGATTTAAACGATCAGATGCTGCAGGCCTATTTATCAACAAGGAAGTTTTCTGGTATAAAAAAGTTGCAATACACTTTTTCCACATGGACATTTTTAATGCATACATCACCTATCAAAAGACAATGGAAAGACCTACCACCTTCCTCAAATTTATAGAAGATGTAATCACTGCCCTAATCTATCAGCAAGGATCTCTACCACAAAGCATTTGCTCCCATTGTGTCAGCAGACTTCATTAAAGCCATTTCCCTGAGAACATTCCACCATTAGAAACAGGAAGAAGATGCCAAAAAAAAATGTAGGGTATGCAGCAGAGGGAGAGTTAGGAGAGACACCAGTGTTCATTGTCCCCAATGTCCCTTCCAACCAGGCCTATGCATCGGAGGCTGCTTCCGACATTTTCACACGTTAGTAAAATATTAGTTCCCCATATTTTTAACAGCCAGCAATTTCCCCATTTTTATTATCTGTGCTGATCTTTTGCCTGCTGCCTTGATTGACCATACCTCTGCCTACCATTTTAACTGACCCTGGCCTGTTTAAAGACAATGACTTTGCCTGCCGTCTGGATTGTTTCTACACCACATTTCTGCTTTCCAGCTGAACTGACCCTGGCCTGTTTATCGACTATGCTTCTGCCTGCTGTCTGGATTATCAACCACGTTTATGCCTTCTTCCTGAACTGACCTCAGCCTGTTAAATCAACAATGTTTTTTGCCTGCCGCTTGGATTGATCTTTTGCCCTGCTACTGTAGCAGTGGGATTCAAGATAACACAGGGGTCTCACATATGTGAAAGGGTTCAGAGGAGAGAAAACCAAATTATGGTTTTCTCCGGGGTTTGCAATTCCCGCAACAGGGTCTGTTTGTCCAGAGGCTTCAAAGAGATTGGGTGGGACAAAGCCTCTACCCCTGTGCCCCAGTCCTACCTGACCAAGGCCCTAAGCCTGATGTTCCTGCCTGCTGTCTGGACCAATACTTTGGCTGTGCTGATCATATCTCTGCCTGCTGCCTGTACTGACCCAAGACTTTTTTGGACCATGTTCCTGCCTGCTGCCTGGACCAATACTTTGGCTGTGCTGACCATATTTCTGCCTGCTGCCTGTACTGACCCAGGACTTTTTATGGACCATGTTCCTGCTTGTTGCCTGGACCAATACTTTGGCTGTGCTGACCATATCTCCTCTTGCTCTCTTTACTGACCCAAGACATTCCACCATTATGGACAATGTTTTATGGACAATGTTTCTTGCTCTCTTTACTGACCCAAGACATTCCACCATTATGGACAATGTTTTATGGACAATGTTTCTGCCTGCTGCCTGGATGTCAGCCTGCTGCCTGTTCTGACCCTGGCTTGTTTATCCATCATATTCCTGCCTGCTGCCTGGGCGATTCTTGTGGCTGTTGCCTGCTTCCTGGCCTAATGCTTTCCTCTGCGGACAACTGCTCTACTAAAAGCACATGTAATCTTTTGTTTATCCTTTCTTCAGCTAAGCTGTGAAAAAGTCTCAGATTTGGTATTGTCATGTTCAAGAGGAGTAGCAAAATGTATTTTTGAGTATAGAAGAAATATCCTATAAATTGACAACTTTGTGTGAAAAAATTCTTTCCATATTTTTCAAAAACTTGTGGAAAAAAATGACATGTTCAAAAGACTCATTCTGCCTCATAGAATATACCTTGGAGTGTTTTCATTCCAAAATGTGGTCATTTTGTGTGGGTGTTTCCATTGCCCTGGTGCCCGGGGCCTTCAAAACTGTGATAGGTAGTCAGGAAATGAGATATTTAATTTATGCCCCTTTTATGCTCCTAGAATGCGTGAAGATGCTACTTGGATGTTAGGTCTCTGCATGTGCCCAGGCTGTGGAAAAGTCTCACACATGTGGTATCAGCATACTCAAAAGGAGTAGCAGAATGTATTTTGGGGCATCATTCTTGGTATGTACATGCTGTGTGTTAGAAATATCTTATAAATTGACAACTTTGTGTGAAAAAAAAAGTTTTCATTTTTCTTTTCACATTTTCTAAAAACTTTTGGGAAAAAAAACAAAACAGGTTCACAAGACTCATTATGCCTGATTAAATATACCTTGGGATGTTTACTTTCCAAAATGGGGTCATTTTGTGAGTGTTTCTGCTGTCCTGGTGCTCCAGGGCCTTCAAAACTGTGATAGGTAGTCAGGAAATTAGATGTGTAAATTATGCCTCTTTTATGCTCCTGGAACGTGTGAAGGTGCTAATTGGATGTTGGGTCTCTGTATGTGGCCAGGTTGTAGAAATGTCTCACACATGTGGCATTACAATACTCAGGAGGAGTAGCAGAATGTGTTTTGGAGTGCAATTGCAAGTATGACAATTATGCGTGAAAAAAAAAAAAAAAATTTGTAATTTTCCAGAGAATTGTGGGAAAAAATTACAACTTCAAAAAACTCACGTCTTTTACTAAATACCTTGGACTGTAAAGTTTTAAAAAAGGGGTCATTTGGGGGCTATTTGTACTTTCCTAGCATGTTAGGGCTTCAAGAAAAGAAAAGACCCTCAGTGCTTAAGGTGTGATCAGGTGTGATCAATTTTCAATGATTGGTGCCAAAGCTTGTAGACTCTATAACTTTTACACAGACTAATGCAGGTCATAGATGGGTAGAAAATTGGCCGATTTTTCGGCCGAAAATAAAATCGGCCGATTTTCGGATCGTTAGTGGGTTAATAGGTCGGCCGTTTTCGGTATTTTGGCAGATTTTTTTTATCGGTAAAATTTGAAAAAGATCAACCGATTTTGCCGATCGGCCGATTTTGGCGGCAATGATGGGCAAATCGGACGATCTTTTTACAGATAAAAAAATCTGCGCATGAGCAGTGACCTGCAAGAGGAAGACAAAAAGAAGAAGAGGAAGAAGAGGAAGGAGAAGAGGATGAAGAAGAAGAGGATGAAGAAGAAGATGAAGAGGAAGAAGAAGAAGATGCAGAAGAAGACGAGATGAAGAAGAAGAAGAGGATGAAGAAGAAGAATTCCAGTCTGGCAAAAAGTGTCCCTGCAGAGAGATCCGCTATTTCTTTGACAGTTCTCTGACATTTATAGCGGCTGCAACAATGTATCTATTTGTTTCCGAATAAAAACATCTGTATCCGAAATGGATACAAATAG